AGAGTGACGCCTACCGCACCTGGGGTGGCTTGGGGTTTTTTTGTGGAGAGGGTGTGGGGGGGGGGGGGAGAGACAGCTAGAAAATTTGCTTACAACTTTGCATTTAAATCGTTTAACACTATTTTTAGCGATCGAAATAGAATATTCAGGATAGGAAAATAATATTTAAAATAATTTTAATATTTTTATATACTATTTGGTGAGGAGTGGGGATAGCGCAGTCGGTATATCGATTGGCTACGGGCTGGACGACCGAGGGGTCGGAGTTCGAGTCCTGGTAGGGTCAATAATTTTTCTCTTCTCCACATCGTCCAGATCGGCTCTGGGGCCCACACAGCCTCCTATGCAATGGGCACTGAGGGCTCTCCCCAGGGGTTAAGCGGCAGAGGCGTGAAGCTGACCACTCACCCCCAGCTAGTGTCGAGGGCAAGAAAATGTGCATCTATACATCCACTCCCCGACACGACTTCATGGCGAGGTGATTAATTAGTTAAGCACAAGAACAACTTTACCGTTTACCTTATTGTTAATACTTGGTATATTTCTTTCTTCAATCAATTTTGATTCTGTTTCCTATAATCCAGGGGATCTAATGTCTGGTGTGCCCTTCCCCCATTCACGCCCGTGATACCAGTAGACTTGTGTGTGCTTAATCTCTAGGCTCTGAGGTTGTTAAGAAACGGAAATGTTACGGAAGCCTGCAGCGGCAATAAATCCAACTGCCATAAAAAAGATTTTAATAGCGGTAATTATTTTCATAACAGTGTCTTTGCTCTCACTTCCCTAGCCGTATAAAAGTACAGAAAACCCGAGAACTTGCTGAGCCCCGAAATTCCTGCCTTCTGACGCTGCCTGACATTTTTGTATGCCAGTCGTGGTCGTTTGTTCCGTATTATGAGAGATTAATATCGAAAATAGCTCGGATTCCTCACTGAAGCCTTATTTTAAAGTTCGGCCCAAGTATTACAAATACAAAAACAAGGAGACTTTTGCTTCTTGAGTTTAAATTTTGTCAAAGTAAAGTTGTACAAGCTTTAGTCCATTGTTCCCGTTTATTCCCAGCCTCTGTTCGATGTCTATAGCTGCATGAAAGAGATAAGCCCACAATATTTATTCGACAGCTTGTAATATTGCATGTTCACCGATGTCAAGGAAGGCAAGGTCGAAATACTATTAACATTACCATTTTTATTTTTTAATCTAAGTAACTCATTATAATTTGTCCAGTTAATTCTAGATTTGATTTCTTGGACTGAAACTGCCTGCCTGAAGGATGGCCGAAGGTTCAAAAAGATTACTCCCGGGGGGTCAATATCCATGGCCTACAAGCGTGTCAGGGGGCACAGCAGCCAATTTCATTGGTTTCATCCTATTGGTACTGAGCCAAGTGGCCACCTCCTTCCTGTAGAGAGATAGAAGACGGCTGCAATGCGTTCTGGAGGAACAGTGTTAGTTTCGAGGTGCCAAGATGAACAGCGTAAACAACATGAACAATGAGCAGCTGACAAACTGTCGTTTCCTCAGAGAAGAACACATTAGCAACGGGGACTGGCTGTCGCTTGCCAGGATCACGTATCTGGACCAGCGCGCGATCCCACGGTGAGTTCGCCGCTCTTCATGCGTAAACAATTATATTCCTTGCAGTGTCCTTCAGGTATCATCAGAATAAAATCGGGATTCTCACAAAATCTGGAAAACGATTTCACAGTTTCGCTCATTTCCTTTACTGTGACACAGGGAACATTAGAGGAATTCCTTCTGTATGTTCCCTTTTGCGAAATTAGACAGTCACTGTGACGTTCATATACAACTGAAATGTCCCATCAAAAGACAATGAAAATGCGAACGTCACATTTTTACTCAGTGTACTCCGACAGAGTGTTCTTTTCCGTAACATACAGAAGAACATCCAAGGATATGTTGCTGTTTAAAATCATATGGCCATGATGTAATGAGAACTGTGGACAAAATTTATATTTTGAAAAATGAATTTAAAAATAAATTGAATTGATATTAAAAAATGTACATAACATAGCAAGTACTTAATTTGAAAAGCAAAGTAATGTTTGAAATGTTTTTCTCTCTAGTGATTGCAAATAAGGAGAACGTCAGTCGTTCGTCTGTGGCCATATTGTCGTCAGCTCTCAGAGCGAAATGGCGGTTAGTGGGCGGCCTCTTTCGAATAAAATTTTCATACGGTATTGTGTCGCATCTAAATGGACGTCCCGTCTACATTCGGTAAATGTTTTCGATGAAACCACTTCATTTATTACCTGATCTAATAATACACAAACATTTGTGCCACTACAGAAATCTATAGTCTTTATTAGAGTCAATTTTACCGACCACACAACATACCTTTACTACTATCACACTACATGTTTCGACCTCAAGAGGTCATCCTCAGGTGTACGAACACAGCTGTATAATTACACGCAATCACATTCGTGATCACTAGTGATCTGAATTGAAATTCGATTCATAAATTTAAAATTTTTAAAATTTTAACTTTTGACATTTAGAATAATATTTTAACTTGTGTTTTGTAAGAGGAACTTGATATATTATTGAGCGTGGGCCTGAATAAGATGCAGGATCGAATAAGTGAGAAGACGAATGTGATTGCGTGTAATTATACAGCTGTGTTCGTACACCTGAGGATGACCTCTTGAGGTCGAAACATGTAGTGTGATAGTAGTAAAGGTATGTTTTGTGATCGGTAAAATTGACTCTAATATTGATTAAATACACAACAGGATGCAAGAAACAATTAAAATCTATAGGCTTTCTTGTGCAATTTGAATCAAACTTATGCCTATATTTGAAAGATAAGCCCACAGGTCAACGAATCATAAACAAAATCCGCCCAGATCATCTCAGAAGTCGTAAATGATGCCTGTTGTTGTGGTCATATTCCTCGACTTCTGTAAAATGTTCACATACACATGCCGAAACCTCGAACTGTAAACCCTGATCTGCTGTACAATGCGTTTAAGAGAATTTCAAAGAGAATATTCAAGCTTAACACCGAGTGCATCCAATTTCTCTTCAGTGAGCACTCGGCGTTTTGAATCGTTTCTCGTTTAAATCCACTAACGACCGTGTCTAAGTTTATTTACAATTGTGCAAACAGTTTTCTCTATTTGAAACTTCACACGGATATCGTACATGGCCACTAGTTTCAACTTGTAACTTTCATGTGTCATTTTGACACAATAAGCAAAGCGACTGATTGAATATATTACGGTACTGTGGAAGCACTAAGGTTATGGTGGATAGGTATATAACGCAGAGGTTGGCTTCACAGCAAATGTTAGAACCTTTATTTGGGCCACAGTGGACAGAAGCTCTAATGAGCTAATGAGTATCGGCTATTGGCCTGCCGACTATACCACGAGTCTGCACACGTATGGTGCGAGCCAACATGAGTAGTTTATTCCCCCCTTCGGGCCGGTTGAACGTTCTGCACCTTACTCACAAATAATCTCCCAGCAAGATGATTAGTTAATTAGGAACTGGAGGTCCAGTTTTAGCATTTGTATGGAGCAATTGAGAAAAACAGCAAAAACCTTTAGTTCATGACAGACGGTTTCCAAACTGAGACTGGAACGTAGTACATCCTATGCTATCCATTTGACCGTGATGTTCAGTGCTCACGGACCGTTACAAAGCCTCACTATGGGGAGCTTTACTCGTGATGAGTTTTGATGATTTTGAAATATAAGGGTCTGTTTGAAGTGGCAGTCATTTCTAATCAAAGCATAAATGACTTTTCAGAACTGGGCATATGCTCCAAGTATCAGTTGGAAACTCTGTGGTATGATAAACACATATTTTGAGATGTTGCATGTATAACAAATTTGTTTCCTGTCATTACCTATATGTCTCGTTTTTGGGAACAGTTTTGGACACTGGAAATAGCTTCTTAAAATAAGACTCTGGCACTTGGTAGACGTGTGTACCTACATCTATCCCCATTTACAGTCGTACTTCTGATATAACAGTATGCTAAAGGCTTCAGAACATTTAGAGACAATTAGTCATGCCTTATACAGGGAAGTCTTTTTTGAGTGGTTCATGGATCTGCACTTCACGGCAACCAGTGCACTGCCAGCTGCGAGGCGCATACTAATTTTTCCAAACAATCAATGTGCCTGTTGACTGATAACATTCGGAACGAAGTAATTACACTTCACAGATCACAGGTGGTGTTGAAAATGCTGTCTGTCACTTGTGGATTGAACTAATCTTCAATGACACAGTAGAAACCAGCTGAAGAAATGAACCTTGCTAGTCGGATTGCATGGCTGCAAGGCATGGGTTACTGTTGTTTTATACAGTCTAAGCTTCAGCAATTGTGTTGCCCTTCTTACACTAGACTTTGACACTGCAATCTCTTGAGCTAGGCATTTCAGTGATTTTTTAGGTGTACAAGTATGTTCATATCTGGCTCCTATGTCATCTAACTTTTCCTCACCAAACATTCAGCTCTTACCTATTAAGAGCCCCCCTGATCTCAGTTTATTTTCCAAATTGTGAACTGTTTCTCTGCTGGGAACTCAGATTTTGTTTCATGTGTGTGTCATACAGAAACACATGTTGCTCTGAACTATACCGAATCATGAAAGAACACACTGCTCACTAATTGTAATGGAGAACAAATGGCTAATAGAGCTGATAATTGCTGCCCACTGTTGACAAATCATAAACAAATTCCAACACATGAACCATACTACTTGCCATGAAACATATTGCAATCAAGTGGCCTACAAAGTTAATAACGTTTCATAATTCCAAACGTTATTGTTCATCAGGCACACTGATTCACTGGCAAAATTTGTATGCACCTTGCAGCCGGTGGTGCACTGGATGCCAGGAAGTGCAGAGCTGTAAACCAGTCAACAAAGCTAAGAACCTCCTTGCATATTTATATGGTAACATTTGTATTTGCAAATGGCTGGTAATAACAGCACTGGGCAAATATTAGTCAGCTGATTCACAGAAATGTATGTAACTTGTTTTGTGATCCAGCACAGTTACTTGTATATTCTTGTTGTGAAATCCCTGTAATCATAAAATTTTCATTTATATGTGTAGCCACTTTCATAGCTTCAATGGATATTTTATACATTCATTCAAATGTTAACCTTCTAAAGCACAGTGGTCACTACACATATCATCTAGTATAACACTATGAAACTCTTGTTCTTGCCCACAGAATGTCTTTATGTTTGTACAGTTCTCAGAACAAACAGTGATTACTTCTGTATACAGCAATGACTACTTGATCTCTTTCGATGGAGAGACAGTGCATTTTCTGTGCAGTGTGAATTGATTTTTAGTCATGATTAAGGTGAAATTCGTTTTTCAAAGGGTTGACATGAGGACATCATTTACTGTGCCACATTCTAAGCTGTTATGGGAGTTCTGGAACAAGGCTTCACTCTCAGGTTGCACACACAGTATAATAACTACTGACTACAGAGAAAGCTGATTGTTAGTTCTGTGTGAAGAAAGAAGTACATTGCAACATCTCTAATATTAAACACTATGAACGTTATTTCTGATGAATGATATACAGGAATTCCATTCTTTGTATAATATTTAAATACAATATTTTCAGTATCTGGGAAGGTGAAACAGGACTTACTAGGAATGCTGATACAAAGACAGATGCTGTTGGAGTTATTGCCTTCTACAAGCGGTTGCTCCATTATGACTGCATCGTATTAGTGAAGCAATACCGCCCTGCCTTGAAAGCTTACACTATTGAAATGCCAGCTGGTAAGTTAAAGTATTCATGAATTATAAAAATTAGAAACTGGTTGTACTGAGGCTTATCTGTCAGTGCTGCTTGTGCTATGGGCAGAAGAATATAGAAGTTGGACATTAGATGTACCTATTATAAGAAACTTAATATTATATTTCAGCATCCCGTTGTATTGAGGCATCATCCTATTTTTTCCTAACGTATTCGTCAATATTACCACTTTAACCTTTAAGTGCTGAAGTGCCCCATTTGTGCCAGTGGTGAGTAAGGTCATCGTGGCCAAAGTGCCCAGTTTTGGCCATTCGGGCATTTAAACTCCGCTAGGGGAAGCGCGCGCACACGCCGCTAGTAGAAGCGAATGCACAGTCCTGATTATTTATTTTTAAATGTAGTAATTACCAGACAGACTTGAGTAAAGCCCTAATAGAAAAATTAAAATGATACCTAGGTGAACAACAACAAAAAGAGTATACGTATGAGTTATGCCCAAACTCATCCACGAGCCAGTACTTTTATTGCAGATTCTGCAGATTAATGTGTTAAAAATATACAGTAAAATTCGATGTACATACCTTTTTTGTTGTTATCTGCTTGATGTATATCTAGGCTGAAATAAAACTACAGTATTCGATTTCACTAAGCACGCACAGAAAACAGACCGCACTCTGAATCTCAGCCGCGATGCAGCTGTGTATTCAGGCCCATAGAAAGGGCAATAAGCTTTTGCAGCTATAACGGAAAGTCTTAGAACTGAAGAAGGGACCCCTCTAGCTTTCTCTTGAATACCCATTCTTTCATTCTTCTGTCCTTCAGTCATAAGATTCGAAAATCCGAAGAGTGTAAGCAGTGCTAGCAGAAGGCCAAATGATTTTATTGCTTCCATCTGTTTTATGACATCAGGGACTGCTAAAATTTGTGAAGTGTTACAAACAGAAATGAATTTGTAATGCAGAACAACTCTGTGAAGAACTGGGAAATCATTTTTGCAGTACTCATCAAAATTAAAAACAAAAAGTTGAAAATAGAGTATAATTAGCATAAAAAATTTCAAATCTTCCGTTATAATATGCGACAGTATGTTCTTTGCTGATACAAACAAAATTAATTCCATCCATTTATCATAAGAATTGAGTTAGATACAGCATTTTTAAACACAGTGCTTAAAATTGTTTAGGCGCACTAACAGGAACGGACATTTAAAGGCAGAGTACCAACGGGCATTTAAACGCGCACCAGCAGCGGGCATTTAAATAAATTCCAGCCAGCTCAAGCTTACCCCTATTTCAGAAGTCCGGCGTTTAAAGGTTAAAAGGATATTAGGAATATGTTGTTCACTAAAAATGCATTTTAATACTAGGGCAGTTCAAATCAATAAAATACCCGTAGTCCTTTATGTAGTACATAAATTTACACATTAAAAGTGAATGTTCACACTCCTCAAATTGTCTTGGTTTTACATGTATTTTTACTAATTTATGTTCACAACATACTTCAGCCTCATTGGGCCATCATCAGGTGAATTCTATCCTCGAGTGAGACTACTGCACTGTGTTTGTTTCCGGCCAATGAGGCCGAAATTAGTAAAAATACATGTAAAACCAAGACAATTTGAGGAGTGTGAACATTCACTTTTAATGTGTAAATTTATGTACTATGTAAAGGCCTATAGGAATTTTATTGATTTGAACTGCCCTAGCATTAAAATGCATTTTTAGTGAACAACATAATCCTAATGTCCTTTTAAAGTTGTATTATTGATGGATACGTTAGGAAAAACAAAAGAAAAGGAAACATAGGTTTTGAATGGCCATTCCCTCAGAAAGGGTAAAGGTAAAGCTATCCCTGTAACAGGCTGTGCAGGCCAATAAAGTTGTGAGACGTTGAGGCTGCCACGTTCTCTGTGCAATCAGCTCACAGATGGCGACAAGGTTGTCAGCCTTACATGCTGACCACCCTTTACCCCCCTCCCCAGGAAGATTCCTAGTAGTCATTTCTGTTACAGGCTGAGTTGACCCCAGGGCCATAGTGTGGCTTGGAGGATTAGATAAAAAAAATACCGCCTCATCGGGACTTGAACCCATGACCTTCCGGCTTGTAGCATAGTGCCTCAACCAGCTACACTAACATATGTCCCATTCCCTCAGTTATGAACATATATAAATTACGTAGCATTCCTTTATAGTATCTGCTATTATGCATATAACTACAGCCCAGCTCATGCTGAATCCAGAGGGCATAGTATCTTCCTCAGAAATTCTTTTGGAAAGATATTAAATCACACTATAACCTAATAGAAGGGTATATAATAATTTCTGGAGTAATATTATTTCAAGTAAATAACTCTCAGGTCCATGACACAGCTAAGTTTGATCTTTCCCATGTCATACAATTTGCTACTTCAGTCATACTATAGTACAGCTACTGCTGGAATCCTTATGGCTTTGTCAGTGTTTGTAAGTAGAAGAAGAGAACATCTTAAGAAACCGTCTGTTTTTATCGGCACATTACTGATGCTAAAGTATCTGAACAGGCCCGGTAGAAGAGAATGAAAGTCCTGATGTGGCCGCCATGAGAGAATTGAATGAAGCTACAGGATTTGTTGGTACCATTAAGAAGATTGGCCCTGTACTTGCCATGGATCCAGGAGTGTCCAGTTGTTCAATGAGGCTTGTTACTGTCGAGGTGAGTTCATGCATTATACTGCCGAAACGTATATTAATCAATACACAGACATTTTTCTGAATGTTATATTTTAGCGTCCTGTTGCACTGATTTAAGTCCATGATTTATTTAAACCGTCTTGCAGTGCATACACTCATTTATCTCCTTCTCTCCCTCGCACTACATGTTTCGGCATAATAATGCCATCTTCAGGTGCTTACTTATCCATGCCAAACTAGTTCATTGCATGCCTTGTCCTCATATTAAAATAACTAAAATATGTATCTATCATATACATTGTCAAACGTTAAAAATATTAAAATTGTTCAGGATACCACATCGCTACGTCGCACCTCACTACGCCAGTCACGCCCATTCTCCTCTGTTGGAGCACTCCTTCACTATCATGTGTGTGTTGTACTTTTGTTGTGTCTTGCTCCTGTGACTGCGTGTGTTATACTTTTGCAGTCATATTTTGATTTTTCTTAGCTACCTTTGTACATGGAGTATACTACTTAGTATGTATGAAATCAGTCTTCACATTTGTCGTATGACATGTGCTACCACTATCCACTACATACATTTTGTCTTTTTCATTTGCATCACTCACGTGGGTTTCTGCTGCTTCAGCTAGAAAATTGACCTTGCTTCTTTTATTCCTATCTTTAAAATAACAGTCCTTTTCAGCATGGTTCGTTTTCTTACATAATGTACATTGTTCTCTCGTATCACTGTCCTTATTTCTAAAGTAACAGTCCTTTTCAGAATGATTATTCCTTTTACAGATAGAGCAATTTCTCTTACCTTTGTTGGGGCAGCTGATCTGGGCATGACCTATCTGATTATAATTGAAACACTTGAAAGGGGTTTTACTTTTGATTTTAGTTACTGTCTTAAAGCTATGCTTTCCTCTTCTTTAGTCATCATCTTGCACTTCACTTCTTCCAACATCTATCTGGCCACCAGGTTGTCAAGAGTTCTGTCCATGGTCGCCGTTGAGTCCCAGGCAGTGCTGAAGTGTTGTAGTCTTCTGGTAGAATCGTTATTTTTGTCATGATCACGTTTTCATCAACGTTTTGGTTCAGTAGAAGAAGCTTGAAGGCAATGTTCTGCACATGACTTATATTCGTCATCATATCCTTAGTTTTGTCATACTTGAAGTTGTAAAAGTCTGGTAGCAGAAGGTACTTCTGTTGAGAGGTGTCTTGCTGATAAATTTGCTTCAAGGTGTCATACATTTCTTTCGCAGCAGTACATGTCACAATGTGGGTCTTCACGTGTCTCTATCATTCTCACTATGTAGTATTGGCACTTTGCATCTTGCATCTTCCATTTCCTTATATTTTCTTCATCTCTTCCTTGGTCACTTAACAGGTCACTACCATCAACGATGTTTATCAGTTCTTTTGCACGCATCAGAATCTTGATTTCAAAATCCCACAGTGGAAATGAGTCGGCGTCCTTCAGTTTTGGCAGATGCGTTATCTCTTCTGTCTCTGTGGTTGCCATTTTTCGTTATTCTTCTTCTGTCTTCTCTCTTTTTTTTTTTTTTAGCAAATCTGGGCCCATTACCTGTTGATTTTCTTTGTGTTGTGCTTACATCACTTAACAGCCATACTGGACGAGAAGAAACTTTTCATAATAATACAAAACAAAAACAAATGAATATAGATCACTATTACCAAATTGTACATTTTTACATTACTAGATTCTCAACAGTACACACAATATTCTGGACCTCCTCAACACTTTTGTAGTGCTGATCCCTCATGTGATCTTCTATGGGCCTGAATAGGTGGCAGTCTGAAGGGGCCAAGTCTGGACATCGGGATGGGGGAGATGTCAGGTGTGCATTGTGAGGGCATGCACTACTGTGTTGATGAATGATGTCTTTTCATTAGATGCTTATTGCTAAGCACATGTCACAGTTTCTGGGATGGCTCAATGTAGTGAACTGAGCTGACACTTTCCTTTCTGGGCAGGAAATCAACCAGTATGCACCCCATCGCATCCCAGTTCCATAGTTTTTTCCAGCCAAGGGCATGGTTCTGGTCTTCCTCTTCTTTGGAGAAGCAGTGTGATACCATTCTATGCTCTGTCATTTTATTTTGGGATCAAAATGTTGGAACCGCCTTTCATCACCAGTCATGAAGTTCAGTAGGAAGTCCCTGCACTCAGAAACATGTTGCTGAAGCAACTGTGATAACATATCCATGCATACCCTTTGTGCTCAACCACCAGCAGTTATGGAAACCAATTCCAACAACATTTCTGGTATCTCCTGCATGCCACTGTGATGAATGCCGAACTGTGCTACGACTTCCCTAACCACTGTGAGGTAGATCGGTGATGTTCCTATTGTTATCTTTGAAATGTCATACACTGCTGGTAATCATGCAGAAAAGTCCATACACAAAATGAAACTGATCAAAGATGTCAGCAGGAAACTGTTCTCATTTATAAAAAATCCAACCACAACATGCTGGAAAAATGATACATCATTTACAGCCATTTTGTCACAATGGATTATGCATAAGTATTGGTACGCATGTGCTGGAGCAGTATTCCAGATTGCAAAAAAACATATAGCTATCAGAATTATATCCTTTAGTACTGTTATGTCAGTACAACATATATAAATTGAAGCTGCTTATTACTTAGTACAGCCCTCACATATCCAGTAGGACAGACACTTTCAGAACTTACACAAGTAACAGAAAGTGAAGCAGCATGTTTACAGAATTTGTCCTAGCAACTCTAGACCATCAGGAGTGGACTGCTGCTTCTGAACTTAATGTAAACCTTTCATTTATTTAATAGACATAAAATAATTAGACTAAAAAGCCAACAGCCTGTTTAGTATGGGTGTATATCTAATAATTTCTTATATTCATAATTAGGTAAATGGAGATGAGCCCAAGAATCTTCACTTGAAGTCAAGTGTTAATGAGCGATTCAAGGAGCCCCTCCTCATACCAGTGTCTGAGCTATTAGAAAAACTTCGTGGTATGTATTTATCTGGCATATTACTCATTCCTCAAAACTTGGAAAGGTCTAACTCAGCCTTGGATAATATTATACTTTAAAAAGTAATTACATTGAAGTCACAGGTTTAACACAGGAAGTACAAAATATTCACTCTTCTTCACATCAGGAGTTCAGTGATAATAAATCGTTTCCAGATTTGTACTTCAATTTTTGCACTTCTTAACACACTGGCTTGTGATATTTTTTGTATTTGCAATGCAGATTAAATTACTGAAACTTCCAGTAAGAGTTGGATTTAGTTTGAATCTGTTTAAACTTGATGTATTATGGAAACGTATATATCTTATCACTATTATAAGAAAGACTGTCAAGAGAAATATCCTTCAGAAATCTAATCTAACTTTATAGGGACAATTTTTTTTTCCTATGAAATAAAACTTATCTTATTTTCTGTTTTTACTTTCTAGCCTTTGCTGCAGCTGGATTCATAATAGACTCCAGAGTTGATGCGTTTGCCATTGGTTTGGTTATGGGAAATCAATCTAGGAAAACAAAAATACCTACAACATTGATGTAGAAACTTTATATTATTTTCTTGTAAATTATTTTTATTGAGTGTTGAATGTTTTGCTTGTCATGCACGTTTCCATATTTGACATACATCGAGAAAGATGCTAAGAGACTGAAGAGGTTTAGTATATTAAAGAAAAACAAAACACAAAAAGAAATTAATAATATATAATGTCATGCTGCTTTAATTTACTTTCATTTCATGAACTACACTAGATCTTATTTACTTACATAATTTCTGTTCTTATAACTCTCCTCAGTGTATCACTGTATATTGTTTACTCAGCAATGATTTGTATTTTTATACTGCTTTAAGAATAATCCTATGTAAACTACATTTCCATATTTTATGGTCCATGGGAATTCATTTTCTGACATTAAACGTAAGGACTGAGCCTGCTCAGAGTTCAAGATGTAGAGCCATTGAGTATTACAGTGAACACCAAAAAGAAAAGAAAGAAAAAAGAATTTTGCTGAAAGTATGTCATCTGTTTGGTGGTCACTGAAATCAGGAGTAACTGAAAGAGGATAGACTCTGGCTTATAATTTGTGCCACAAGAGTTTTACCTGATATACCCATCCAAAGACAAAATAATGTTAATACAGACATAAGGCTATGTAAGATTTTGATCTCATTAAGTGCTTACTTCTGGTTCACCTACTTTCCACAAAGTAGGAAGAAAGTCTCTCTAATCATTGCTCTGCTACTGAGTATTTGAGGATTTGGGGTTTGCTTCTTGGAAGGTGAAAGAACATTCTCTCTTCACAGTATGCAGACCAACTCTGGGGCCCACCAAGCCTCCTGTCTAATATACACTGAGGGCTCCTTCCCCTGGGTAAGGACAAGTGACAAGGTCAAGAATGGTGGAGCTATATCTCCTCTCTCATATGTCTTCATGGCAAGGAACTTAATAAAGCACAAGGAAAACTTAACCTTTCCTTTTTACTGCCTAATATTACATGGCAGGAAAACTAACACCTAATTTATAGTGACTACTCCTATAAGGTGAAGTACATTTCAAATAACAACACTACAGAGGGAGATAATTTTAACTGAAAACATATGCCAGACATGAAGTTTGGAAGTAAAATACTTTCTTGTCTGACATCACTTACATTGTGATAAGGAAATGTTGAAAATGACCATTGGCATGTTGCATACATAACTGAGCACGACAAAGTATGTTCGAAGACATGGCTTATAGTAAGATGGGTCTGATGTTGACAGTAATAATGCATGGATTACTGTAGTAGGATTGCCTCCAACATAGCCCCACAGAAAACGGCTTGATGGCAACAAATCTGGTGAGCATGGGATCCATAATTTTTTCAAAATCAGATGATCTCTGAACAAGAGGGGTGAAATGTGACTTCTTGTGTTGTCTTGCTGAATCAGTGGTTTAGTAACTTCCTTTTCAGTCATGTATTCAATGGAATTTGTGGATTATGTCAATGTACCATTCAGAGAATTAGGGTTGGCCCGACAGTCCTCCATATACCTCACTCCAATTTTCACAGGGTGTAGGGGAGCCTCATGTGGATTTTCCATAGGTCACAGTTGAGTATTCTAAGAGTCTACACACCCTGTAAGATGAAACCAGGCCTCATCTGAGAAACATCCAGCCTCACGTGCAAGGGTACCATCCACTTCTTTCAGTAGCCATTCACAGTAATGATTTTGTTTTTCACAGGCTGGAGGCAGCAGCTGATACACATATTTCACATTTTACAAGTCCAAAATACAATGGACATAAAACTGGTCACAAGCATAACACAAACAAACAAACAAAAGCAGAAAGACAATACAAAGCCAAAGAAACACTGTAACTAATTACATATTTACTGTATGCTCCAAAAATTCATCAACTGTATACAATGAGTTATTCATGAGATATGAAAATAAATTATTTTTAAAACTGATTCTATCCTTTCTTAGACTTTGAATGGTCTTTGCAATTTATTAAATAACATGTAAACATAGTGCCCTTGTGGAAAACAGAAAGATTTTAAGTTGGAATATAAATTTGATTTTTGCTTCTAGTGTTCAGGCCATGAACCTCTGAACCTGAACAGAAATTACTCTGATAATCTATCACAAACATCAGAGAAAAAATATATTCACATGACAATGGTAAAATATCTAATTTATTAAAAAGACTTCTACATGAGTCTCTGGGTCCCACTCCCAATATGATCCTTATTACTTTCTTTTGTAATTTAGAAACTCTGGAATTATTAGTTGAATTGCCCCAGGGGACAATAAGTACGAAAATACACCATTTTCAGGGTTTTTAAATTCATAAAATAAGATGAACTCCTAATTACAAAAATAGCAGAACTGAGTTTAGGAAGGATGTATTCACATGACTCTTCCAATTCAATTTATTATCAATTTGTATACCCAAAAATTTTATTACAGGGACTTCATTCATTACCACGTTTCCAAAGGATACTGCCAGCAAAGAGACAGCACTGTTTATGAGCAAACTTAATAATATTAGTTTTGCTAATATATAAGACCAATTTGTTCGCTATAAACGAATTTACAATGAGAGACAAGGTATATGCAACTTTGTGCTTAAGTGCACAATGATTTTTTCCAGTGACCAAAATACTGGTGTCATCTGCAAAGAGAAAAACATTGGCGAATTTACTGATGCATAATGACAAGTCGTTAATATAAATAATAAACAGAAGTGGTCCTAAGACCGACGCTTGAGGAACTCCTTTCTTAATTCTTTTCCATTCCGAGAAATAATCATGATCATTGTGAATTCTGAGATGCACTCTGTTTTCTGTCTGACAGATAGGATTTAAACCAATTTAAATTACAATGCTGAACACCACACTACTCTAATTTGGATATCAATATCTCATGATTAACACAATCAAATGCCTTGGCAAGGTCACAAAAAATCCCAACAGTTAGATGTTTATCATTCCAGGCTTGAAGTATGTCAGTGGTAAGTGAAAAGGCAGCATGATCCGTCAGCAAGTCTTTCCTAAAACCAAATTATCCTGTACCAATATATTATTCACTTGTAGATGCTGATTTAATACATAACTTTTTCTAAAACTTTACTAAATACAGTCAATATAAAAATAGGTCTATAGTTTGCTATGTCAGCTTTATCACCTTTTATATAAAGGCTTTATGACTGCATACTTCAAATGATCAGGAAATGCACCAGTCATAATAGACATGTTGGAAATATAAGAAAAGGGCTCACTTATAGCCATGCTACACAATTTTAATATTTCTGATGTGATATCATCATACCCAGAAGACTTCTTTGATTTTAGGGAACAAATTATGCTAATAATTTCTCCCCTAGCTACAGGAATAAGTTTCATACTCGGAAAAACAGTCTGATAAGCATTCTTTAATAATCCAAGAGGTGATACTATTATCAGTATGTGTTTGTTAATTATTCAGAATATACTCATTGAAAACATCAGCTGCATCTTTAAACTGAAAATTCATGTTATCCATTTTAAATGAAGAAGGCATGTGACTGGACCTAGCAAACTTATGAAATACATTTCTTATGATATTCCAAGAAGTTTTTATTCTGTTATTAGAAGTTTCAATTAACTGATTATAATGTAGTTTTTTTGCTTGACAAATTACTTTTCTTAAAATGAGACAACACTTTGTAAAATAAAGTTTTATTTTTTAATTACTATGTCTACTAATATTATATAAAATTCTTTTATATTGACGATATATTTTAATGCCAGTAGTAATCCAACTTCTGTCACTGTTCTTACTTAAGTAAACAATAGGAAAACTTTTGTCATAAATGTTTAAAATGTTAATAAAAATTTGTTAAAAGCACCATTAACATCAGTATTATGATAAACTTCTTCCCATGTTTCATTAGATAACTGTTCAGAAAAATAATAGTTTCACAAGTAATTTTTCATTATTATTATTATTATTTATTTCATCCATAGCTGTAGAGAATTACAATTGGACATATCAAATATTAACAACTTCACATAAAAAATAACATAACATTCACACAGCGATTTATCACTATAATACAACAATACATTTTAAAATACATTTTTAACTTAATTTAAGAATAATAAATACTCCAAAAAAGACATAAGAATAAATATTTTAAATGTATAGACAGATTTATCAACAAGCAGTCCATGTCAACAATTATTAAAAAATTCTTGAAGAGAATAGAAGACATTACACAAAAAATAATTCTTAAGTTTCTTCTTAAAAACATTAAAATTTATTACATTCTTTAATTCGGTTGGAAGGCCATTAAATATTTTGGTTCCCATACTAATCACCCCTCTCTTGCTATGCTCAGTAATACAAAATTGTGTTTATGAATAGTGTTATAGCCATGAACATCAGAATACTGGGTGGTATAAATCTTATTTTTTATTATAAAACATATAAGGAAGTAACAGTTAAAATATTTAATTCATGAAACAAATTTCTACAGGAAACTCTATTTTTAACACCTTTTATCACCGTTACACATTTTTTCTGTAGTTTAAATAGAGTTCCAGAGTCTAGATCTGGATATGAATTTATTTCTCAGTTTATTGTTGATTTTATTAACAGTAACAAAAAAAAATGTATTGCGTATAAGCCACTGTTCATTATAATCAGACCGTGCATTGGATAAAAGAAATACTGTACAACAGGATAATCTTGATTCATCTACAAAGACATTATCAATAGCTGAGGCATGATTATTTTGTAATCTAGTGAGAAAATTAACAGCATGTATCATGTTGTAAGTGCTTAATAAAACCATCAACTGCTGTTTCCGGTTGTCCTTTAGTAAATAGTCAACATTAAAATCTCCACACAGTGAAAACTAAATAGTTGGGTTGTACAAGAATAAAAAAACTTGTTCCAACAGTTCCAAGAATTGACAAAATTCTTCCAGATCTGTATAAACATGCCCCAAGCCTTTGAATTCAAATTTAACAACACATATTTCTAAAATTTTTTCCACTGAAAAATGTAATAAATCAACTTGACTAAAACGAATATCCTTACGAACATATATACATACACCACCTGCTTGATTGAACACTGGTAAAATTTTCCAGGCCCGAGGGTCTGTAGTCAGAACTTTTTACTGAATTTACATTAGCAGTGTTCCATCACTAAGAATATTATCCAAGTCAAAAAAACTTGTAGATTGTGTAACGGTGGTGTGTTACAGGCGTGAAGCTCGACAAAAATTTTGGATTTCTTGTGTGTTCGTTGTTATTTTTGCAAAAATAATAACATATAAGAAATAGCAAAGAAGAACTGATCACATAAGGTGACCATAAAATCTGGTGGAGGTTAGTGCAAGATTGTCCTCGGTACAATATATTATACTATAATATAATAATGGCGGAAATTGGTGACCAAACAGCTCCTATGCAATAACATTTTAGTAGATAATAGGTGTGGAAAGTATAATAAAGTAGAACGTAACAGCATACTATGCGATAATTGTGATAAATGGTATCATTTTAATAAGTGCAGCAATGTAAATGAAGACAAAATACCTGATAATCAATGGCTTTGTGTTTCATGCTTACGACAAAATATCCAGGAAAATAAGATTATGACTACGCAGTAGGATGACTGTGAAGTTCTCCGTAAATTGTTAGAGGAAATATCGACATTGCAAGAAATGATATTTATCTTGCAGAGTGTAAGAGTGCAAGAAGTACGTCATTCAGTACATTATGAAAATGAAATTGGTTGGAGCCCGGCAGCTAAAGGAAAATCAAGAAGAAGAGAACAGGTGACTCCACAGTTTTCAGTTTCAACTAGTAATAAATTCTGCACCCTAAATGATGTTGCTGATGAGACTCTGCAAAAGAAAATACTTAGTTGTGAAAAGAAGAATAAATTGATGTTTTATAGTGATAGCTATGGTCGTGGCATACCCACGTCACTGAGCAAATCCAATGATGATGTTTTGGTGTTTGGTGAGGTTAGGTCGGGTGCTAAGGTAAAAGATGTTTTGAAAAACTGTGTAAGAGATTGCGCAGTATTTGGCCCACAGAACCATGTAATAATTATGGGTGGTGCCAATGATATTGCTAGAAATGAAACAAAGGCTTGTATCAACGTTGTAAAAAGAACACTTTCAGCACGGACATGTACAAATGTTGTTGTTTTCAACATACTGATTAGGCATGATTTAATAAAAGAATCAGTAGTAAATAAGGAAGCAAATATGGACATAAACAAGGCGTGTAAAAGATTTAGAAATGTAAAAGTATTGGATATAAGCAATCTAAGCACAGCCTACACACAAGGCATGGGCAGCACCTAAACAGACTAGGTAAAGAACATATTACTCAAGAAATAAGTAAAATAATAGGTAATTACAAAAAGAACCAATTAAGTGCAATAGTTCTTGGTGATCTAAATCAGGGAAACTGACAATGAAGACTGGATCTCTAGGGTTCCAGTCATTCCCAATTGGGGAAGTAAAGCCAATGCATAATTTGAAAATGATACATCAGAATGCTCAATATCTTAGTAATAAAACTGAAATACTTACTGAATTTCTCCAGAGTACTACCCTTGATATACTAACTATATCTGAACATGGTTTCAAAGAGGATGAAATCCCTCAATGTATGTTAGAAGGTTATACTGTAGTTTCATATTTTTGTAGGAAAAAATATATACATGGAGGGACAGCTATTTACAGTACCAGTAACATGGTGCAAAGTAAACCCTTGAATTGGTTAAAGGAAAAAGTAAGGTTACTGGTATAGAAATAACGTGACACGATAAAACTTGTAATTATTGCATTATATAGATCACCAAGCAGTATAATATATGAAATTTTTAACCTACTAACAGATATTTTGGAGCAGCTTGTACAGAAAGATTGATATATCATTCTTGCTGGAGACTTAAATATAAA